ATCACTCCTTCCCCCCACTTTAAACTTGACACTTGAGCAATACCAAACTGCCTGTACCTGCCTACCAACTCTGGGATGTTTACTGCCTTTGAGCCTTTGTTTATGCTGTCCCCTCTCCCTGGAACACATTCCCATCACCACCCACTCCCTCAATTTGATCAAATCCTTGAGGACCTGCTCAGCTCAGCATCTTCTCCCTCCCTGCCCTAGGCTGGACTGAGTGCCATCCTTGGCACTCTCATTACACCCGGAGCCTGTCTCCATCCCACATTTACTCTTGTTTTAGTCTATTGTGTTTTTAATATTCTTATAAAATTTCTTATTATCTCATTATTCCCAAGTAATTAATTTTCATTGTCCAGCAACTCCTAACTCACATGTCCTCAAGAGGAACTACCCAATATATAAACTCAGTGACTTTTGAGTAGCCTGGAAACGTAACTCTTGGCATATCTAGAATTGTGGTTCACAAATCAAAGATATTTCAAGGTAACTGCTGTAAACTTCTGCTCTTTCACTACAGGTAAAAAGAGCTACAGACACCTATAATTTAGGGATTGCCCTTGAGCACCGGAAAGAGATGCTAAACCTATGGCAGAAGATCCGAGGGGATTTGATTGGGATAGACACTAAAAATGAGTCCTTTTATGACACCTTTTCTACTTATACATGGTCCTGGAATGTTTGCCAAGAATTACTTTCCCCGAAAGACTTAAGGTTATTTGATGCCTACATGAATAGAAACTCCTTCCACAACTCTATATTCTCTTCCTCTTCGGATATCAGTGAATGTGACACAGAGACAGAAAGAAAAAGAAAACGGAAAAGTTTCAAAGGATTTCGACAATGAAATTTCTACATTTTCTAAACAGCTCCTTACAAACTACTTTTTCATAGATATCAAAATTATTCTTGCTTTTGTCTAATACATTCTTAGCAGCTGGAAATATCGACATCTTTTGAATCCTGACCAGTAAAAAAGTATGAGTCACAATATGGTTTCTCTTTCCTAATTCTTACTAGTAAATAGATGCCACTCTGTTATTTCCCTAGCAACCAGCTGCACTCTGCTGCCCCCACCTGGCTCAGAACTGCCTGGGCCTCAGCAGGAAGGAGAAAAGCAAAGCTGGCACTACTTCAATTCAGGGCCACCCTCCTGAGCTCTTAACAGCCCTCCCAGCAATAAGCATCTGAGTTTACGTGACTGTAAGTGGCACTATGTTTTTGATTGTGGAAGAGGCCAGAGGCAGGGGATGACAGTGACCTTTCAGTTTCAGGGAATAATATATCACCATCCCTCGGGGAACCTTGATTAAATCTGGGTGTTCCTAAGGCTCCTTAGCCACACATCTTCAGACCGATCTCTTGGATTTACTCTTAAAAATAGCTGATCTCATCCATTACACTGGTTGTTGTTCTTTAATGCATTTAATAAAGAAGCACATGTGTAACTATATTACAAGTTTGGGAGGGGTTGTAATTTGTTTATTGTGGAAAAATATATATAACATAAAATTTACTATTTTAATCATATTTAAGAGTATATTATCGGGCTGGCGCTGTGGCTTAGCGGTTAAGTGCACGTGCTCCGCTGCTGGCAGCCCGGGTTCGGATCCCGAATGCACCAATGCACCCCTTGTCCAGCCATGCTGAGGCCACGTCCCACATACAGCAACTAGAAGGATGTGCAGCTATGACATACAACTATCTACTGGGGCTTTGGGGGAAAAAAATAAAATAAATAAAATTTAAAAAAAAAAGAGTATATTATCCATTACATTTTTTTTCCTTTTAGAAAAAGGAAAAGACATGTTCCCTATTGATGGGGACAGTGGCTTATAATGTAATATTATAACATGCCAGGAAAAAGCAATGAAGATAGTGAAGGATCCCAAAACCATTTAATGAAATAGCCTTAAAGTACTTTTGTGTTACACTGAATATTCAAAACCATCTAAATATATTTGCTGTTCTTTATAATGTTATGATGTGAGGAAAAATAACTAACCTTATGGATAAGTGATCATGTTTCCTAACCAAAAAACAAGATTTATGGTTTGATAAGAGATTTTTTTTGGTATGGCTGTGAGTGTAACAGGCAATCTAAGAGATGTAATTTGGATGCCAAAATATCAGAATTCCTGGAATATTTCCTTGATCAATGGGATAACAGGATAGAATATTTTTAAGTAGATCTGTCCTGGAAAATCTAAAATGTAAAGAAATACATTCTTTCTATTAAATTGTCACACACTGTTGATGACAGTATAAATTGGCATCTCTCTGATGGAATACAGTATAGCAACAGGTACTCAGCCATTCATTCACCAGTTATTTATTGAGTTGCATGCAGTGCTGGACCCTGTTCTCAGACCTGGATATATAACAGTGAACAAATAGATAAAATGCCCTGACCTCAGAGAGCTTAGTAATGGAGCTAATTATAACCATTGACTCAGCACTTCCACTTCTAGAGATTAATCCTAAAGAAATGATCATGAATGTACAAAATAATTTAGTTATAAGGATGTTTATCATATTGAATTTTTAATAGTAAGAAACTTAAAGTAGCCTTAATGTCCAATAAATCATGATACAGCTATACAAAACAATGCCAGGGTCATTAAAATGATGTTGTAAAAGAATATTTCAAACAAAAGAATGATATTCAAAGCTATTATTAAGTTAAAAAGCAGGCCTCAACTGCTAAGAGGCATGAGAGAAATTTATGGGATTGTTCTAAAACATAATTATGATGGTGGTTGCACAAATATAGATTTTTATGAAAACTCATCAAACTGTATACTCTAAATGGATGAATTTAATTGTATGTAAATTATACCTCAATAAAACTGTAGAAAAAGGGGGTACAAAACAGTTCATTCTGAAACTATTTTAACTTAAAAGTTATTTCTATAAATAAATTAGGAAAAAGGACTGGAAGGATATAAACCAAATGTTTAATGGGTTAAATTCAAGGTGGAATGGGATATTTCCTTTTCTTTTGTCTTATCTATATCTTCTAAATGTTCTAAAATAAACATATATTTATTTTGCAATAAGAAAAAAACCACAAAAGCTGTTTTAAAATTAAAGTTGTTAAACCAGCTTATTCAGTGTCTAGGGCTGCTACAAAGACTGTCCAGGGTCTGTGAAACCTTAAGGAGAGCAATTAGGACATCAGTATCCCTTCCCCAGCCCTTCATTTCCAGATGCTTACACAGCCCAGAATATCCACTGATTGGAACTGAAAGAAAAGCATGGAACAATTAACTACCCCTGTCCGGGGTTAACACCCAAGGCAATAATCCAGTTTTTAACCTTTGCATACTTTGAACCCATGCCACCCACTGAACCCGAAGAATTCTCACTATTCACCAGCAGAGGGACCCTTAGCTCCTCTGAAATGTAGTGCTTGCTGATGCTACAGTCTGCTATCAAGTCTGATTCCACAGAGGACTCACAGCCATATCTTCCAAATTTCCTCCAAAAAATTATTTTAGGTGCTTCAAAAGATGGAGAAAAATGAGTTCTACAAGTCAACCAAAGATAATTGTATAAAAGTTAAGTTTAGGATACTTTATCACATTTCATAAAAAGGGCCCAAGTTGTTTGATATTTTAAATGGCTCTAATTATTGGAACTAATACAGTAATAACTTCAAGTGAAAACAGAGAGTGAGCTCTCTGCAAAATAACACGCAGTGGGACTGTTGATTGGGAACACTAACAGCTTTTGGTGTGGGGAGAAAAAAGCCTGTAGATGAGAGAACAAGATGCCAAGAATAAATATAAATCAACCACTTTATCTGCAAACAGCTGGCCTTGAGAATAGATAAAAATCCTTGTTTTTTGGAAAGGAGCTTTTGTTCAAAATGTTTCAAAGACCATGAGAGTGGCAAAAGTATTTTGTTTTCAAATAAAGTACAAGTTCTTTACTATCTTATCTTTTTGATTCACTCATGTATTTTCCTTTGTGATTGCAAAGGGTTTATTCAATGCCCTGACCTCACCTTCTTCCCATTTCTTTGGTGGGAAAGGTATAGAACTCTCATTGCTCCCCTTAGTTTTGCCTATGAAAAGAATCTGCAATGGAGTAAAGGATCACTGGTTACCAGTGAGCTAAGTCTGGTGCTGCATTACTTAATTAATTAACCCTTCCCTTCTGTTCTTCCAAATGGTAGTCATCAGTCTTCTGGAAGTCTTCTCAACTAACCTCATCTTATGTTGACAGTATACTTTTCTTCTAGATTCTTTTGAGGATGTTTATAGTAATTACTAAAATAGACATGTAAGGCTGAAAATATATTAATATAACAAGCTGTATGTGTGTATGTATTACAATCTTGATTGTGCGAATAAGCTTGAGCATGGATAATTCCAAAAGGTACAAGGTTATAAAATTTTTTTAAACTTGTCCTTGGATTTGGCAGGTAAACCTCGCGTTCTCCGAAATCATTTCATATCTCCCCTCTAGAAAAATAGTGTGGAGACAAATATATGCAAGTATATATATATATTACATACATATATATACCATAGCTTTTCACACTACAGAAGCTGGAAAATTGTCCTATTTCCTCACCCTACTTGTTACCTTCCTCAATTATTCTGGCCATCAGCTCTACAGTAGGACTAGGTACCCTTACTTCTTAAAGTGATTCAAGATTTTTCCTGTCTTACAACTTGAAGGAAACTGGGAGACCTGTGACAGGATCCCAGCACGGAAAGGAGGCTCAAGTGGAAGGTCTCCCACTTCCTTGGTGGTCTGCACGTCCACCAGCGCCGCCTCAGGAAAAAACGACTCCGGGGCGAAATTCTGCCGGCGCGCTCCCGGTACCCAATAAGTCTTTCCCCCACTGAGGGCGCGCCCAACCCTGCGGTGCTCGAGCGCCACCCGGACGGCGGGACTCCGGAGCCACCCCGCCCAGCCTCCGTCTCTTCCCGCCCAGACCCCGCGCCTTCCGGAAGGGGGCGTGGCGCGCAGGAAGTTCTCGCGTTACGGACAGGCAGGGCTTTCCGGCTCCGGTGTCATGGCCGGCTCCTACACCGAAGGTGAGCTCGCAGCCGTCGGCGGGAAGAGGCAGCAGTTTGGGAGCCGATTCTTGAGCGAGCCGGCGCGCGTCTTCCACCACAATGCCTGGTAACCGCCCTGCCCCTCGCCCGGCCTGCGGCTCGCCCTCTGTCGCGCCGCCCCGAGCGCTGCGAAAACCCCCCGACCGCCGGCCACGGCTCACGCTGCCTTACTCGAGGCGCTCTCCTTCCCCGGGAGAGGCGCTCTGGGGCCAGCTCCTCGCCCTGCCGGCAGCTGGAACGTGAGGCCCCTAACCTGCCCGTTTGGTTTTTTCAGGGACAATGTGGAGTGGTCGGAAGAGCAGGCCGCGGCGGCGGAGAGGAAAGTCCAGGAGAACAGCACCCAGCGGGTGTGCCAGGAGAAGCAAGGTGCGCCTAGGTGGGCCCTCAGTGGCACCCATAGCCAGCGTATTGCTGGACGCGCCGTCCCGGAGAGGCCGGAGAACCGAGGCCGCCAAGAGCCTTTGTTGCTGGACTGACACCGAACTCGGGGGTAGAACGGCAAGAGGAGGGGATGGGCAAGGATGGAAAAGGGCTACACTTTAAAATCTTGTTAGGGCATAGAGAGTGTTTTGGTTTTTGTTTTATTTGGGAGGGGGTAATGTGTCTTGATATGTTCTAGTGATTAAGTTTTTAGTTATGTTGAGTAGACCCATATTAATGTGTCTGGCGAATGGCAACCGTGTGGTCACATGATTTGTCTTAGAGGATGTACTTTATACATGATTACACTTTGACGAAATGTTGCCGTTGAAGCTAGATCCAAATGATCAGATTCTAAATATTGGGGGAGGAGGCTAATAACTGGTGAATTATGTGTCTTTTCCTTGTGTAATGGCTGTGAGGATTTGGGGCTTCTGCCAAGGAAAGATGGATGAAGCAGAATGGAGATAAATCTAGCCAAAGAAAAAGAGACCTCTTCTGGAGAGGTGGATGATTTCACTGCAAAGTATCCCTCAGTACTAAAACTAGGACTGGTTTGGGCTATGTCCTAAAAGACGATTGAAGGTAGGACTAGAAATTGGAGAGTAGTACTCACTGAAAGAGTTCTGTACAACAATTAGAAGATTCCAGTTACAAAATATTCACCCTACATAGTTTTACAGGGACTAGATCAACGCAAGTTAAAGCTGAAAGGGATTTTGAAAAGCATGTAGTCCAATATCCTCTTTTTACAGATAAAGAAACTTGGACCGCAGGACATTAAGTGCCTTGCCCAGAGGTAAGCAGTTAGTTAGCAGTAGCAGTGGTGGAACTAAAATCCAATTTCTTAGGTTTTTATTCTTTCTGCTACACTGGTCAAGGCCCTGTATTGGCAAAGAGCTGAAAACTGAAATCTAGGACTACCTTAAACAACAGCTTTCTTTTGAACAGTCCACACTTTTTAATCTCTCCTGTCCTCTATCATCAAAATTCTTCTCATCTGAAGACATTTTTCCCTCTTACCAGCATTTTCTATTTTCCTTTTAGCCTTGTTTCCATTTTTAATATATATTAGTAGTATTGAATTCATTTATGGACTTCACATTATAAAGAACCACAGACAAGGGAACATATTTAATGAAGAGCTGCCTGTGTGGTAACCATTCAGTTCACATGGAGAATTGAAGAACCTGGGACATTTAGCTTTGTAAAAGAGAAGATTTAGAGAGGGAAATAACTGCACTCAAATAGAAAAGCATTGTTCTGGATGGGCCTGAGAAGTAGTAGAACTTTTGACCAGAAGTGATTAGACAGATTTTTTTGCTTAATGTTAGAATTTTCTAATAATTAAGAGCCATTCAGAGATGTAGAAGGAAAATTCATAGGTAGTAAGTTCCCTGGCAGAAGTTGGACTCCCAAGTGTGATCGGTGGCACAACTAAATGACCTCCAGCTCTGAGACTATTGAGGATGCTTTTAGTATAAAATGACATTCGGTGAAGCAGGATGATAATTGACATTAGATACAAATAAAATATGGGGAGATGGTTCTTACAGTTCTTTCTTAAATATTTTCAGTTGATTATGAGCTCAATGCCCACAAATATTGGAACGACTTCTACAAAATTCATGAAAATGGGTTTTTCAAGGATAGACATTGGCTTTTTACCGAATTCCCAGAGCTGGCACCTGGCCAAAACCAAAATCACTTGAAGGATTTACCCTCAGAGAATGAGAGAAGTGAAGTACCTCAATGTAGAAGCAGTGAGAATGGACCTGGTTTAATAATAGAAGAACAGCACACGTGTTCTTCAAACGACCTTGGACATAAAACACAGACACCTTCCCTGGGGGAGAATGTAACTCAGAAACTCAGTCACCTGGAAATCTGTGCTGATGAGTTTCCTGGATCCTCAGCCACCTATCGAATACTTGAGGTAACCTCCCTTTATCGTCCTGGTAGTGGGGCTTGTGAAGCTTTTTGCACATGGGAAACATAGAGAGTTTGACCACAAAAGTGACTTCTGTCTGATGAAGCTGACTAGACATGACACTTATGTTGGCCTGGGTTCTCTTCCATTTTTGAACTAATGAAATGCACTAAATACAGACCAGATAGCTAGTGGTCATGGCAAACAAAGATAGATCGCCTGAGGTCCTACCTGGGAATATCATGGTGCGTCCGCACGTTGTAGCGTTGTGCTTTACCTGCCATCTGGAAGAGACAAGGCAACTTCTGTTACTTTTCTTCTAATACAATTATAAGTTGGAGAGATTGGTTGGGATGGTGCCTGCTTCGTAGGCATGGGAGAATTCTTGTTTTCTGAGTTTGGATTATGTTGCAGAGGCAAGGCTAGACCTGAAAAAGTGTCTAGGTGGGTACTATCACATTAATTCACAAATGGTGGCTACACACTCCATTGGAAGCTGATTAGCCTTGGGATTGGGTCCTTACCCTCCCCAAGCAGAATGGGACTTTGCCTCTCTCTCTCTCTCTGCCTCATAGATGTTACAAGGATTCATTGAGATAATGTATGTAAAATGGCTAAGAATAGTGTCTAGCACATAATAAGCCCTTAGTAAATGGTCACTGTTTTTATTATCACACCCAGTGCTGTATTTAGGACAATGTTAAGGTCCCCTTTTCATGAATTTTTCAGCCCAGTATATTAGAAACATTTTTCCAGTAATGATATAGTGGAGCTCATTAAGAAAATATTTCATCTATACAACTATTTGTTAGAACTCAAAACGTAAAGACAACCTATGCCCCCTTTTTTTTTTTTTATAATTTTATTTATTTATTTTTCCCCCCAAAGCCCCAGTAGATAGTTGTACGTCATAGCTGCACATCCTTCTAGTTGCTGTACATGAGATACGACCTCAGCATGGCCAGAGAAGCGGTGCGTCGGTGCATGCCCGGGATCCGAACCCCGGGCCGCCAGCAGCGGAGCGCATGCACTTAACCGCTAAGCCACGGGGCCGGCCCTATGCCCTTTTTTCTAACCAGTTCCCTTCTGCTAATGAAAGCCCGTGCTCTTGTCTTATGCTACCTCCTTAAGGGTTCCTGAGGTCAAGGTCAGGGAATGTCATGGGTACTGTTTAGCTCTGGTCACTACACCTTCCCTGATACAATTAGGCAAGTTTATCGTTGATTAGCTATCTAGCTTCAGGGAATCAATTCTTTGGAGAATTCTTTGATTAATAGTTCATTTCTGTCTGCAGGTTGGTTGTGGTGTTGGAAACACAGTCTTTCCAATTTTACAAACTAATAAGTAAGTATGTTGTGAAGTTTAACTATATGACAGCAGAGGAGAAAAATGGGGGGTTTGTTGTTTCTTAAAATTCTTCCTGCATCAAACTGGTAACAGTGATTATTGGGAAGCATGGGTTATAGGAGATGTAGATTTCTACATTATCTATTTATGGATTGTTTTGATTTATAAGTTAACCTTTGTTATCAGGGAAATTAGTGAGATTTAAAACGTGTTACATTGTTAATGTATAGTGCCTTCCTCTAAGGTGCTTAAAACATTTTCAGTTTCTCTGCTGTCATGATCTCTCTGAGGAACAGTCTGGTGGCTAGGCTGTCATTTTCACCCCACGGTAGAGTTGAGGAAGCTGACCTACATGAAGGTTGTCTCCTATTTTCAAGCTACTCATGGAAATGACATTCTAGTTCCATGTTCTCCATTGGAACCCACTGTTTCTCAAAGGTTCGAAATAAATAATTTTGCTATTTTAGCCCACAGTACTTAGAATTCATTGAGACACTAGCGTCGTTTAAAATATGCATTTTTGGGCCGTCCTAAATGGTGGCATAGTGGTTAAGTTCGAGCATTCTGCTTTGGCGGCCCAGGGTTCGCAGGTTCAGATCCTGGGCATGGACCTACTCACTGCTCATCAAGCCATGCTGAGGTGGCGTCCCACATAGAAGAGCTACAACTCTATAACTGTGATATACAGCTATGTACTGGGGCTTTGAGGAGTAAAAAAAGAAAAAGAGGAAGATTGGCAACAGATGTTAGTGCAGGGCCAAACTTCCTTTAAAAAAAATAAATTAATTAAAAAATAAAATATGCATTTTATTGTTAGAAATTTCTAAGAAAACTTGGAAAGTTATAGTAGCTTACAGTGAAGGAAAGAGGTTGTTCCACTGTCATATCACACTTTTAGGAATCTACCTCAAATGAGAGATCAACTTCCCTTTGAGAGCTGTGACCGCTAGTTGTCAGTGTCAGGGATAATGAGTATAAAGTAGAGACGGCATATTCGCCACAGCCTGGTTGTGCTGTTTAAAGATTTTATTTATTCATTTTTTTCCCCCCAAAGCCCCAGTAGATAGTTGCATGTCATAGGTTCACATCCTTCTAGTTGCTGTACGTGGGACTCGGCCTCGCGTTGGACGGAGAAGTGGTGCCTCGGGGCGCGCCCGGGATCCGAACCCGGGCCGCCAGCATCAGAGCACGCGCACTTAACCGCTAAGCCACGGAGCCGGCCCTGGTTGTGCTGTTTAAATGAGATCAGTGTGCTCAGTGTCTTGCTAGAATCCACTTGTTCCTGTAGTTGACTTGCTTAAAATTGATGTAGGCTTTCTCCTACCTACCATCTACTGTCAGATTTAAATTGTTCAGCATAGTTTTCATAACTCTATACAAGATTGTGTCCTACGAAGTATGTCTTGTTTCTTATCTCTCATATGAGTTGGTCACACTCTTCATGTCTTTCCTTGGCTCTGTACCTTCTCAGATGTCCTCTTTCCTTTCTACTAGACTGCCCCTTTCCTTCCTTCCTCAAATTCCAGGTCAGAAAATTCCAGAAAACTGATCTAATTAATACAGTCCAGCTGTATCATTCTGCAGTCTTTGCAGCCTTCTTATATGTTTCTTGTGTTACCTTAATGCCTACTTCATTTCTGTTAGAAGTTCTTATCATTTTTTGTACCATGTCTAGTGAAGCCTTTGGATCCCTTTTCATGCTAATGTGTTTGTTTTTATATATAACAGCTTTATTGAGATATAATTCAAAGTATACAGTTCAATGGTGTGATTCACAGAGTTGTGCAGCCATCACCACGATCAATTTTAGAAGATTTTTTTTTTTTTTTTTGTGAGGAGATCAGCCCTGTGCGAACATCTGCCAATCCTCCTCTTTTTTTTGCTGAGGAAGACTGGCCCTGAGCTAACATCCGTGCCCATCTTCCTCCGCTTTATATGGGACACCGCCACAGCATGGCTTGTCGAGCAGTGTGTCGGTGCGCACCGGGGATCTGAACCGGCAAACCTCAGGCCGCGCAGCGGAGCACGTGCACTTAACCGCTTGCGCCACCAGGCCGGCCCCTAGAAGATTTTTAACCACCCCAAAAAGAAACCCTGTACCCATTAGCAGTCACTCCCCATTTCCCACCTTTTCCCACCCCCGGCCCTAGGCAACTACTAATCTACTTTCTGTATATAGACTTGTCTGGGGCTAATTTTTTTAAGTATGTAAAGTAAAATAGAGGAAACCAATAATTCTGGAATACAGTTCTATCCACCGAGCCTGATTAAGGACCTCTGATTTATGTAGCACTTTATATGTTTTTTTCTTATATCTTTTACCATATTTTTCTGATTTCAAAAGTAATGCATGTCCACTAGAAAACTTGGAAAGTAAAGAAAAGCACAAAGAAGAAAACACACCTTATCTGCAGGGTCTAAAAGAGGATATAAATCAAAAAAGATTTTAACCAAAATGAAATGTTGTGGCTAATAGGTGTGATTTCTTTGAATGAATGGTGCTCTGCTATTTCATATTTTAACTCTGCTACACAGGAAAGAGAACAGACATAGTTCAGTATGTAATCTAATTGTTGTGCTGTTTTTTTCTGTCTATTTCAGTGACCCAGGACTCTTTGTTTACTGTTGTGATTTTTCTTCCACAGCCGTAGAATTGGTCCAGGTGAGTGCAGTGGCTCCCATCAGTAATTTTCACTGATTAAAGGGAATAGGGTCTCCTAAAACTCAAGGTCTCTCTTATCTTATTATGCTGTGGTCTGAAAGTAGATTCACTGAAACAGCCTGGAGTAGAGGAAAGGGCCAGACGTGAATTCAGATTCTGCCACTTGTCCGCTCTTGATCTCTCCAAACTTACGTTTTAAGGATTGAAATGAGATGATTGTTTCAGTCAGTTCTTTGAGTTACGAGTTACAGAAACTTCTAGACAAACTCAGCCAGTAAAAGGGAATATCATAGAACCCAAGGGCGTCAAGTGTAGCCAGGACAGGAGCTCAGCCCTGCAAAGGTGTCAGGTACCAAGGCAAGCTTGCTGGCTGGTGGCAGGTGTTACTGCCCCTTTCTTCTGTCACAGCAATGATGTCTCACGTCTCATTGCCTAGTGCCCGTTTGCTTTTTGTTCTTGTTTGTTTGCAGACCAGCTTTCTCTAGCAGGTTTTCCAGGTTTTGCACATGGCCCCCAACATGCTTCCTCCTCACAGTCCCTTAGAAGTCCACCCTGTTCAGGTGTTCTCAGAACCTCCCCAGAATGACTGTGTCCTGATTCCAAAGTCCCCAGAAAGTCTGGTTGATGCAGCCCAGCTGATAATGAACTTGCCCTGTTTGAATTAGCTGTGACCAATGAGGAGCACAGTCACGTTATTGGAGAAGAGAGATGTGGGTGGAGAAGTGACCCTAAAATGTGTCTGGTACCATCATGTGTGATGCTCCTAGCACAGGAGCTCAGGAATTGGTAGTTTGTATTTTTCTGGATCTAGATCAGATGAATATTGAGGCTTATCTTTAGTAAATTTTATGATAATAAAGTATAGGTTAAATTTTCCACATCTAGAGAAATAGATTTTCCTGGAGAATTCTGTGATCTGTTTAATATGTTGTAGATAGGAGTTGTTTTAAATCATGCTTTTTCAGTATGTTCTGTTTCACTCCTTATGAGTTTTTCTTTTCCGTCTTGGTCACTTACCTTCCTGATCATTTTCCAAGCCTCAGATCTGACTTTGCATCAGAATAAAGAGTAAACGTAGAGGATTTAGGAAGCTTCCATTTTAAAAGTACCAATTACATTCCACAGGCTCTTTCCTAGAGTTATTCCTGATTCCTACCCCTTGAGTAAGAATACCTGCCGTAATGGTGAGAACTGCATCCCTCAGTGGGAAGTAGCAGCGATTAGTTTAAAGCAAGATGAGCTTTTCTTGAGGGTATGTGGACATTTTCTAGCCTATTCTCTCTTCCAACTGTCTGCAGACAAATTCAGCATATGATCCTTCTCGCTGTTTTGCCTTTGTTCACGATCTGTGCGATGAAGATAAGAGTTACCCAGTGCCCAGGGAAAGTCTTGACATCATCATCCTCATATTTGTTCTTTCAGCAATTGTTCCAGACAAGTAAGTTTTAGGTCTCTTAACCAGTAGTGTAATAAAAACAAAGCTTTGGTCAGGGACCTTGATGTTAGAGTGGGTCCTAATTAAAAAGGATTTTATGTGTGTTCTGATAGAGAGGAAGAAGCCACTCCATCCAAAGTGATATGAGCATCTCAACCATTTTCCTAATTTTGTCTGAAAGTCCAATTTCTGTCTCAGCCTCTAAACCTCTGCTTGTTGACTGCAGTGGTCAGTTCTTTTCGTTGTTATGGTTTAACGTCCCCAAAGAATGGGGGAGCAGTCTTTAGTGGGTGTGTGAAGAAATTCCCTATTGATCGCATAACATACTGTTTTAGAACTGTAGGTGCTACAGTTGTTAGATAACATCCCATTACTGGCCTTTTTAAATGCTTTCAATAACCAAGCTTATTAAAATTTACAGTGAACCTTAACTTAGGTGTTCTGTGATGCTTAAGTCCTTTGGAAAACTGCAGTGCAGGAGAATTCCATAAAATCAAGTTTAGATAAAAGGAAAATAGATTGCTGTACCCTAAAGATACTGTTAAAGCCTCATCGCTATACGCGGCAGTCATCCTGATGAAATACTGTCTCAAGGAAGCAGTATCAGTCAGAGACCTGGGGGCGTGATTGCCTCTGTAGTTCACATTTCCTCTAGAATAGCGTTGAGTCATCTGACCTGACAGGGATGTTATGAGTGTGAAATAAAGGCAGGAGAACCCAAAGGGCTTGGCATGGTTCTAAACATGAATAACTGCAGAAGTTTAAGTGCTACAAACTTTTAAAGATTGACATGGACTGAAACAAAATATTAGAATTAAAAATTTATTATTCACTGTTTAAATAGACTTTCAACTGTTGTTTTGGAAGTTTGTAGCATTTATACTTCTGACATTATTAAAGCTGAAACCTGTACCAAGGCTCCATATATGGAAAGTGCAGCTGGAAATGTAAAGCACTCTGCTCATTATACTCATTTGCATACTGACTATCACCATGTAAAGTGTAAGTTCCTGAGGTTCAGTCTTCATTTAACAAATGGAAAGATACAGTCGCTGCATTCAAGAGCTCGGGCCTAGTGAAGCAGGCAGATGAGTCAACTAGCAGCCTCCACACCAGGTGGTCAGGGCTCCGCTCAGAGATCCATGGGAGCGCAGGGCAGGGATGGCGTCCCCATGAGGTGATCCCAGGAGGAGTAGGAAGTGAGCCAGGCAGAGAGCATGTAACTTCCCCCACAGGGACCCCTACTGAAGAAGCGGGTTGTCTTCTGGTCTCTTCATACTGAAGGCAGTGAATTGAAGCCACAGTTGTGAGCAAACATCAGAGGTTTGGGCATGTGCTCCAGTTCTAAGTGAGGCAAGGGCAGAGGAACTAAGATTTCAGGGCTGGTGTGTCAGGGTTAGGAAGTCCACTGGCTTTTCGGGATATGCCACAGGGGAAAGGAGCCCTGTCCTTAAGGAGACCTGATCTTCATTCCCTGCTGCCCCACAGGATGCAGAAGGCTATCAACAGGCTGAGCAGGCTTCTGAAGCCTGGAGGAATGATGCTTCTGCGAGATTATGGCCGCTATGACATGGCTCAGCTTCGGTTTAAAAAAGGTATTTTGCCACTATAATCAAAATAATGGTTTTGCCATCCAAATAGACATAAAATCAGTGAAACAGAATAGAGATTCTAGAATTATAGCTCCATATATAAAGCCATTTAATACATGACAAGGGTGGTACATTTTTTTGTGTGTGTGAGGAAGATCGGCCCTGAGCTAACATCTGCCAATCCTCCTCTTTTTTTGCTGAGGAAGACGCCCTGGGCTAACATCCATGCCCATATTCCTCCACTTTATATGGGATGCCGCCACAGCATGGCCTGACAAGCGGTGTGTCGGTGCATGCTCGGGATCTGAACTGGCGAACCCCGGGCCGCCACAGCAGAGTGCACGCACTTAACCGCCGGCGCCACTGGGCCGGCCCTGGGTGGTACATTTTTGAAGACTTGTATAATCTAGGTATTGGGGAGGTCTTTTTAACCAAGACAGCTATTTTTAGGAAAAGACGTTTGATTATGTAAATAGTTTTTTTGGTTTTGTTGTTGTTGGGTTTTTTTGTTTTTGTGAGGAAGATTAGCCCTGAGCTAACATCTAATGCCAATCCTCCTCTTTTTGCTGAGGAAGATTGGCCCTGCTAACATCCGTGCCCATCTTCCTCTACTTTATGTGGGACGCCGCCACAGCATGGCATGACAAGGAGTGCGTTGATGCACACCGAGGGTCCGAACCTGCAAACCCCAGGCTGCTGAAGTGGAGCGCGCACGCTTAACGGCTATGTCACCGGGCGGGCCTGTATAAATAGTTTTAAATGTGGTATGGCTGAACATGTGGCCTCTAAGGTCACTTTGGAGCAGGGGGAGTATGTTTTTCAGAATAGGCCTAGAAGTGGCGTACTCACTTCTGCCCATATCTGCCAAATCTGGTCACATGGTTCCAACCTAACTGCAAGAAGGTCAAGAAATGTAGTCCGTTTGCCTAGGAAGGGGACTAAAGTGGTAAATAGATCATAATGCCTCTGCCACACCATCACATTAGCAAAGTATCTCAAATAATAACCAATATCATCTCATTCGTTGAGAGCTGTTGGTACTGGACAACGCTTGTTCAAATCTAACAGAATGGAGGCCGGCCCCGTGGCTTAGCGGTTAAGTGCACACGCTACACTGCTGGCGGCCTGGGTTCGGATCCTGGGTGCACACCGACACACTGCTTCTCCGGCCATGCTGAGGCCGCGTCCCACATACAGCAACTAGAAGGATGTGCAGCTGTGACATACAACTATCTACTGGGGCTTTGGGGAAAAAAGGGAATAGGGTTGGCAATAGATGTTAGCCCAGAGCCAGTCTTCCTCAGCAAAAAGAGGAGGATTAGCACGGATGTTAGCTCAGGGCTGATCTTCCTCACAAAAAAAATAAAAATAAATAAATAAATAAATGTGGTATGGCAAAAGATGCCATTAAAAAGTTAAAAGACAAATGACAGATTGAGGACAAATATTTTCAGTTAATAAAACAGATAAAAAGTCATATCTGTGCTTTTCAAGTGGGGCTGTCAGCAAATTGATAAGGAAAAGATCAGTGACCCACCCAAAAAACAGGCAAGGAATGTTTTAGAGTTGATTTACAGGCGAACATTTCCAAATGGCCAAAAAAAAAAACTTTAAGAAAATAAAAATAGCAAAGAGATACCAGTTCTTAAATCTGTTACTGGCCAATTTAAAGAAAGAGGTACACTCCTCCATCATTGGTAGAAATATAAATTTGTTAGCAGCCTTTTTTAAAGCACCTTAGTATTATCTATTCAATCCAACAGTCCTTTTGAGAATTATTCAAGAACCGGCATCTAATATATGTGTAACCAAATCTTGGAAACAAAGTAAATGCCTCTGGGTAGGGGACTGTCGTACATGTCACATACGGTAGACACCGTACCACTGATCTTGGAGGGGTTTCCATTCTGTATCACCAAGTGAGAAGAGCAGTGTACAGATGAGTGTTGTAAACTTGATCCTTTGTATAACAGTAGCTGGAGGAAAATAAATGAGTAAAGTAAGTAAGTAAGATTATATTGACATTCAAAAAAGTGTAGACGGGTTACACGTCAGGTTGTTAAGTTGATGTAAGGTCAGGGGGCTTAGCAGCAGAAGGGAAAGTGTGTCCATGATGAAAACAGTATACGTGTTACCATATTTATGAATGAGTGTGTGTAGACACGTGGAGAGACATGCGAAAGGACAATCACGAAAACGATAATAGTGGCTGTCTCGAGTTTCCTTAAACTTAGCTATATTGCTTGATTTTTTTTTTCCTTTTTTTTACCTAACAAGGACTATGTGCTGTTTATTTAATCGGGGAGGGGGAAAATAAAAGTTGTTTTCATCATGAAACAGAACTCTAGGATGTGGGGCTAGGATCACAGATGTTATCTAACACTGAAGTTTGGTTTGTGCCCTTGGGCTGCTCTTCTCCAAAGCACCACTTCTTTGTAGGAGAGAAAACACAGATTCCTGCAAAGTACCAAATGTGACCAAGAAAAGAAGCTATTCTCTACCTAAGAAATTGCTATCTTGATGCACATTTGATGGGCAGTGAAATTTGAAGAAGTGCTTTAAAGTTTCTCTGATTTTACCACATCACTCTGCAGGTCAGTGTCTGTCTGACAACTTCTATGTGAGAGGCGATGGCACCAGAGTTTACTTCTTCACACAAGGTATGAAAACATTCATCTCTGTTTATGCTGGCAGTCCCCAGATCCCGGATTAACTGCTCCTCAGTGTACTCTCGGAAGTAAAATCATCTGGTCCCCCCCGCCTCTTGCAGCCTTTTGCCTGTCCTTCCCCACCCCTCACACCCTACCCTCAGCCAACCTGAACCGTTCACTCTTCTCCAAATAGGCTCAGCCTGTACAAGCCTTTAGTCCTCAGCTTTGCTCTTCCGCGGTCTGCTCCTCTCTCTCACTTTGTCCGAAGCGGGAAACCTGTCCATTTTGCGAGACTGCAATGCAGCTGTTTCCCCCTCTAAGCTGGGTTGTACTTTAGGTGCACCTGAGTGAGGGTGAACTCATCGCTCACTGGGTTCCAGGGATGACCCAGAACTGCTCTCCTCTGCTGCTTGCTCTGCCCCAGGTTTCCCCTCCACCAGTGCCTTATGAATACTCCATTCCTGGGCCCTATGTCGGGTCACGTACATTTTTGAGCCTTTGATTAAGTGACAGAACCTCTCCCCTAAAAAAAAAAAATGGCTTTGACATAGATATATGTAGATTTTTGTGTACAATTTTAAAGTGTCCATAGAGCCCTTCCTGAAAAATTCCTCCCCATCAGCTGACTCTTAAAGAAACTCTGTCCTGAGTTCCAGGCTGCCTTTCCCAGATGGTTTGGCTTCCCCTACCCAAACGTGAATTTACCGTTACCAAACCGCTGCTACATTTATAACCAAACAGCCCTGCTAAAGCCACTTAAAATATACAAATAATGACAGCAATCTCACGGAGCTGTGTCTATCACACAGATAGATAGACACAATATTATTTTCCAGGGGAAAATACATAAACATCTCTTTTCCAAACTAGATGAACTGGACACGCTTTTCACTACTGCTGGACTGAAAAAGGTTCAGAACCTGGTGGACCGCCGATTACAAGTGAACCGAGGGAAACAGCTGACTATGTACCGCGTTTGGATTCAGTGCAAATATCGCAAGCCTTTCCTGTCCAGCCCCACTGAGAGCACCTGGGCCTGACGTGATGCGGGCTCACTGGGGCTTTTTAAAAAGAACATCCACAAATGGAGTCATGTTGATGTCAGACAGTTCAGGGATTCAGACAGACTTGAACCATGAACCCAAGAAAAATTACTTTTTATCAAGATTCTAGCAATTGTGCTTCATATTTGTGAGAAGCTCTTTAATATATACGTCTCTCAAGTTTTTTCTTACTTTGGGATCTCAAAGAATCTTATTATTCATGGGCATCAGAATTTAAAAAGCATCAAGAATTTATTTCCATGTGAAACTATCATATGATAAAGTCATTTGACTGTAAGTCGCATTAAATTATTTGAGAATTCAAATACCTGGGCTAAGCAGTTGATACATACAAAAATGAACGAAGGTCTCATTCAGTGGTGGGGGAAGAATCGTCTGTCTTTGGATGTTTTCCTGTCTCAAAAATACTGCTTTAAAGAGCATCAAATGTGGTGTCTTTGTTAAGTATCTGGTCACGTCTCCATTGAACCCTAGTTCCATGGAATTTTAACCACTGTTCCCGCTCTAAGTAACCTGTGTCTACAAAATTGAAAGGATCTTCACTTTTAGCAAAATTGTCTCATTTTTTATTGTGCCCTTAAATGTTTTACACAAAAAGAATTGAGAGAACTTTATTTTGAAAGTGATTGTCATCAGTGTTACTTTTTTTAATGTTCTGCTTTTTTTCAGTTATCACTTTTATATGTTTCCCTCTTGATGGTCCATAAGTTATATGATGTATTCTTAATTTTACCAAATAAACAATTTTCAATTCCTTATTCCTACATTTTGGATTTTCAACTCAAATATTCTCATAATTGTTATTTTATTTTAGTTATACATGTGAAAATGTGATAAGACACAAGGATTTTTTTTTTAATAATTCCAAATTTACAGAAAAGTATAATACCAAGAATATTGCAAGAATAGTCAATTCTTTTTTCCTGAATCATTTTTTTTTTAATATTTTTTTATTTTTTATTTTTTTATTTATTTTTTCCCCCAAAGCCCCAGTAGATAGTTGTATGTCATAGTTGCACATCCTTCTAGTTGCTGTTCCTGAATCATTTTTAAGAGTAAGTTGAGAGGTGAGATTCCAACACTCCTGCGTATTTTATTGTGTAATTCCCCTAACTGAGGACATTCTCCTGTATCACAAAGTATATCTATCAGAAGCAGAAATTAGCATGGAAACACTACCATCCACAAATAACCAAATTTTCCCAATGGTCCTAATAATATCATTTATCACCCCAAAAAAAGCCATTGTGTTGGGTTTAGTAGTCATGTCTCAGTCTCCTTCAGTCTAGAACAATCCTTCAGGCTTGTTTTCATGACTGTGAAGATTACCAGCTGTTATGCAGACTGCCGCTCAAAATGGGTTTGTTTATGCTTCCTCGTGATTTGGTTCAAGTTCCACATTTTTGGCAGGAATATCAGAAGTAATGCTGTGCTCCTCCCATTGCATCCTATCAGGGGATGCGTGGTTTTGAATTACCCCATTATTGGTGATGTTAACCCTGATCACTTAATTGAGGTGGTGTCTGGTGGGTTTCTCCACTGAAGAGTTAAGTATTTTATAGGGTAGTGCTTTGAGACTATATAAATATCCCGTTCCTCATCAAGCTTTGCCCCATAGTTTCAGCATCTATTGCTGTTTCTTGGCTGAATTACCACTATGATGGTAGCCAAATAGTCTTTTCTAATCCCACCCACCTTCTACATTTGTTGGTTGGCATTCTACTGTACAGAAAGCTTTCTTTTTTATATTCATTTACTTGATATGGACTCATGGGTTTCTGTTTTATTCTGTGATTATAATACAATACTATCATTTTTTTTGATGCTCACATTGTCCCAGATTTGGCCAGTGGGAGACCCTTCAAATGCTTCTGTGACCTTTGACATGTCCCCATTATTCTTCGAGCACTTCAAGCACAAGTTGTTCCAGGCTCATCTTATACTTTGTCTGCCATAGTCTGAATCACTCATTTCCCCCCAAGGAGTTGTGGTTTCTTTTAGTGGAAAAAGGTATTTAGAAGCCAAATTAAGTGTGCTCACTGCTGTTGGGGTGTTCCTGTACCCAGACCCCCTCAGTGGGTGGAGCTCAGGGATATATAGACGTATGTACACACATACTTGCATCTATATTTCTATGCTTACATATAAGTAAAACAATTAGATCAATACCTTTGATTCCATCCAACACCATAGGATTTATTCTAGTTTTTATTCTTCCTCTCTGTACTTGTAGTTCCCCTTTTCCGACAATGGCACACTCCCATGATCCTCAATATATTGGGCCAATCCCCTCATATATAACCATTCTTTTGCCACCACCATTCATGGATGCCCTCCTCACCTCTCTTGGGCTCTGAAACCCAACTCCAAGCTGCTGTTGCCACCACTCCCTCGCACAGACCCCCTCCTCACCCTGCCCTGGGTCCAACCCCACCCCCCAGGGGTCCATCACCACCCCCTGCCTCTGCTCTAACTTCCACCTTGCCTGGTTTCACCTAATGAGTTTTCAAAGGTGGGAGGGTTGGAGGAAGGGAGCTCCCATGTTTTCCATTGTAATGAATTTATTTAAAACTGAAAAGACTGTGTCATTGGAATGGTATTTCATTTGCCTTTTGAAATGAAGAACAGAATATATATTAACTGATCCACTAAAGACCTTCCTTTGGAATCTCTGAAGCATTTCAAAGCAACAGGAACAGTTTTTATTTCATCTTCCTAGCACCTGGCTTGGGCTTTGGGCTTCGGTATAAAAGATGAGCCTTTTCCTGCCCCCTGCTCCCTTTTCTGCTCTGCCATCTGCTAAGCTCTCTTCTTTTTCTCTCTGACTTATCTGTCAAGCTAACTTGAACTCTGTAAGGACCTTTGCATAATTTTTCAGCCTCGTAATCACTAATGATGGCCAGAGGACAATTAAATATGGTCAGGGTAGATTAAAGCATGACCTCAGTGCCATTCAAAACACACAGATGGCCTGGACTATCAGTCTGTCTCTGAATGCTATCTCTTGACATGCCTTTTTTTTTGGTGAGGAAGATTGGCCCTAAGCTAACATCCATTGCCCATCTTCCTCTTTTTGCCAAGGAAGATTGGCCCTGAACTAACATCTGTGCCCATCTTCCTCCATTTTGTATATGGGATGCTGCCACAGCATGGCTTGATGAGTGGTGTGTAGGTCCATACCCAGGATCCGAACCTGTGAACCCCAGGCTGCTGAAGTGGGGCACGCGAACTTAACCACTACACCACCGGGCCAGCCCCTCTCTTGATATTCTTAATGCAAGAAAAGTGCTGTGTTGTCTGGAAAGGTAGTTCCAGGTGTGAATCTGCTCAGGAAGTTGTGTGGTTAAAATCTGAGTCTAATAGAGAAGTGTTTCTGAAACTGATCTTCCTAAGTAGTGTTAAGTTGGCTGAGATAAATTCAATGTTGTTTGAAAAATAAGGGGCAGTTTAATTTGAGACGGCTGTTGGAGCTATTGGAGTGGAGCCGTGTTCCTAAAGGCAGTGCGCAGGGTCAAAGGTGTCACACGATCACCTGGGGAGCATTGGGTTCTTACACCGTGAAAGTGATTCATCTCCCAATTTTGTATGCTTCATCTGGAGCCTGGCCCTGCTAATGCTGTCAAACCTGTGCTTTGCAATGAGTCTGCTACCTGCCTTCGTGTAAGTTCATACTTTCTTAGGCTCTCGTTGGAAAATTAAGGCCTTGAAAACTTAGTAGGAAAAGGAAAATCTAATGTAGTAAGACATCCTACTTTCCTCTAATTGATTCCTATCTTTGCTTAAAGATGTTACTTCAGGAATAGTGAGGAGTTCTATATGCGGCTTAAAAGATGAGATCGGGACAAACAGCTTCTTTCACTCTGTTCACAAAGGCCTGTTCTTTGGTTTGTGGCTGCAGCTGCTATTTTCAGAGGCCGGCTGCATTGATGCATTGCAGATTTGTGTATGCTTCTTAATTTGGTGTGCAGATTGACTGGGAACCTTGGTTGAGAGGTGGAAGAAGTGCTGGTGGTGAATTTCACAGGTAAAGACACTGAAATGGTGCATCACGGCCACCTCACTATTTCAGTGAATTTCTAGATTCAAGATGGGACCCTATCTCTTGACTGTAGTCAGTGGAACGCACTGCGTGACCAAGTTACAGGACAAATAGCCACAATTGGATTCCCTTCTCCAGTGGGGGGTCCTGAGACAACACTAGCCAGTAGCAGTGACCAAAGGCTCACGTTTGGCATCCTCACCCTGAGGTGAAACCCAAATTGCATTCATTCATTCGTTCCCCACCTTCCTTTCTCTGAGTTTGGATTTCTCCATTAAAATTTAAAATATCCTTAGAAGGAGCCACACTTTAAACCTTTATCAGCAATAGCATGTTAGAGAAACACCCCCAAGGGGATGAGGAGGACTGGAGAAAGTCCTGACGTGGCTACCGTGCTGTTGGTAAGCCCCACACCCTCCTCAGCCTTGCTTCCCATCACTCAACACTTAGAGGGTGATGAAGGCTGACACTCAGTGGAGCTCGCTAAGTGAGGAGTTTGTTGGGAGAACTTTGTATTCTCAACACTTAGCAGAGTAGCAAAGCGCCTGGCCCATGGATTGTGCACAATAAATGAGGACTGAGTGACTAAATAGCTTCTTTCTGCCCACCCCCCTCAACAGACACTCACTCACATACAGTTTGTATTCAACTTCAGAGGACATATCGTACAGGGCTATGGTTGCTAGTGTCAGCAGCCCAAGCTGGCTTAAACAAGAAAACAGAAGGAGGACACGGGGTGTCTCATGGGCCCCCAGGGCAGAAATGGAGAGGGGCCGCAGAAGAGCCTGGGGAAGTGTGTACTCACCACACTCCCCCAATCTCTCTAAGGACCTTTGCTCTGCTCCTTAGTCCACTTGTAGGAGGCGACCGTAACCCAGCTCTTGAACCTTGATGTCTCTGTAATATGGGCGTGTTGTGTGTGTGTGTGTGTGTGCACGTGTGCACAGATTTAAAGATTTTATTTATTCATTTTTTTTTTCCCCCCAAAGCTGCAGTAGATAGTTGTATGTCATAGGTTCACATCCTTCTAGTTGCTGTACGTGGGACTCGGCCTCGCGTTGGACGGAGAAGTGGTGCCTCGGGGCGCGCCCGGGATCCGAACCCGGGCCGCCCGCATCAGAGCGCGCGCACTTAACCGCTAAGCCACAGAGCC